TTGTTAAGCGAATTTTAAAGTTGTGTGAAAATCGTGTTTTGATACAAATTGAAATTGCCTTTCACAAACATTTTTTGGCCGTTATTTACAAAAAAAATTGACAGAACCTTTAAGAAAAGGAGCCACAGGGGAAATACGTATTCTACTACTACACATTACAATATTTATTTGATTACATTTATTTGATTTACATTTCTCAAGTTTTCAAATACGCGCGCCAAACGTTGCGGCGTTGCCACATAGCAAAAGCGCTACCACACTTTTCGCTTGATTTTTGCCATTCACAAAACACGTGCAGTCGTGCGATAGCAAACTATCGATAGCATTTCAGCAACAACATACTATTTTGAATTTGAAAAAAAGCATGCAAGGAGGAATAGGGAAAGACACAGTTAGCCATAGCAAACAAACAAACCAAAAGCATCGAATTGGTCGTTCATACGCAAATCTATGCATATGCATATATGTACATACATATATGTATGTACCTTATGGGATGGAAGCTGATCAGGCATTTTTTACATAATTCATTAAAAAATTAAAGTACGCATTGCAAATGCATAAAACGGGAAACCTATATCCATTCTGGCTAGTTTAAGCAAAAATCACGCCGCTTACCTTTAGAGCAGGCTCTCTTTTCTTTCCTCTTACTCTCTTTCTCTTTTTGTTAACATGCGCTCCAATTTGTTTTATGTGGAAAAGCTCAGCGCCAAACATTAAACGACGAGTACTACAACGGTTGGAAGAAGCGGAGTTAACTGATTGGGCAGATAACAAACACACACGGCACAAACTAATCACATTGAACACTATGTTATGTATATAACTTTATTTAATTACGATTTTATATATGCGCGCACATTACACGACCGATCAACAGCACAGATAAGCACAGACTAAATTGCAGCATTAAGCTCGCGCAGAGTTTAAGCCGGCATGCACACTAATACACTAACAACAAAGAGCACACAATTACGCGCTCTCTCATTATTCATACTGCTTGCTTCTCAGACAACGGGATCAAAGGCGTTTCGACCAATGGCGTGAAGGCGCTGCCATGTAAATTACTTCTCCCGGTCATGCTTGCAGTTTTTGTTTTTGCTGCTTGCTGCATACTAAACATATAACGGAGTCAATCTCCCACGCTTCCAGGCTAGTATGGTGATCCCTGCAATCGAGCAAAATGTTGCCAACATTCACAATAACTCAATTTTTATCGATTATTCCTATGGCAGTTATATGACAGAGTAGTTTAAATATAAATAAATACTTAATGGGCTCGAAGATCTAGATGTTACATATTATATTATCCTGTGCAAAGACAATTCAGAATTTACTTAGAATCATTTAATTACATAGTTTATAAAGCTATTTAATTGTTAACTTTGTATTTAGTTGCCACAAGCAGAGTTTAATAATTAATTAAAAGCTATTCATGTGTGTATTTATGTGTGTGTGTCAGTTTTTCTCGAATTTCTGTGTTGGATGTGCTCGTTAAAAGTAGAAAATTTACATTAATTGAAAAAATACTTCAATGCCTCCAGCGCAGCTTAAAGCGAGCTCCTCGCGATGTTCTATTGATGTTTTTTTTTTTTTTTTTGGTACGAACTTTGTACATTAGAAATTAGTAACTAAACTATGCCAGATCATTGCCAGACTTAAGCCAGGTCCTTGCCAGATCTTGGCCAGATATACGACAGATCTCTGCCAGGTGTGGGGCAGATCTATGACAGCTATATCCCAGATCCCTTGATCTAAGCCAGTTCCTTACCAAATAGATGTCAGATCTACGCCGGATACTTGCCAGATCTGTGCCAGATCCAAGCCAAATCTAATGTATTAAGTAGACAATAACAGCTAGAATCGCGGCGGCCAGCTTTGAGACATGACGGGCAGCTCCTCCGGTCAGACAATAATACTCATCACAGTTGGCCTCCGAGATGGTTTTGTACTTCTCCAGCACATCCGACCAGTTGCACAGACCCACATTGCACCAGTCCAGCTCGACGGCATTCTGATTGAGAAAGAAGACGACCTTCTCCTTCTCCAGCTGCGCCGGGCAGCTATATTTGACGGCCACAAAGTTGGCTGCAAAGGGGCCCAATAGGCTGGTCTTCCAGCGACGATTCGCATTGAAGTTATCCGCACGCAGCTTGGCCTTATCCTCGTTGATGCCCAGCGCGGTGAGCAGCGTCTGCAGACCCGTCGAGTGGGCGAAGTAGGCCACCACATGGGGCGAGACGGGACTGCTCAGGCGGGAGAGCATGTCCTGCACGGCGCGGCAATTGAAGCGTGTGTTCTCCTCGAAGCCATAGCCGGAGCCGTAGTAGTATTTGAGATCCTCGGCGTATTCCATGACGGTCACATGCTCGGGCAAGAAGGCGCCGCACCAGACGCTTGTCCGATCCACCTGCCAGGCCTGCTCGTAGCGGCACATATCGTACATCAGCTTGATGTCATCCTCGGCCAAAACTCTGAAACTGTTGGAGCAGAAGACGAGTTAATTTCGTTTTGGATAACAGCAGCAGCTGCTGATGCTGGATACGGTTACTAACCCAAGTCGACGTGCAATATCCTCCATGGTCTGATTCCATATGGCGCTTGTGCGATATTTCTTATGCTCAGATCCCGCGCCCTTGTAGTTTTTGGTCTTATAAAACGGACAGTAATCATAGGGACGCAGCAGCAGATCCTTTTCGGGTATATCCGCGGCAGTAGCCACATTGCTGCCACCAAAGAGACCCTCGGCAAAGCCCTTGAAACTCTCCGTGGTGCGCTGTGTGTCCGTGTGACGGAACTGAAAGCAGCGAGAAAGTCTTTAGTCTGGCAAAAGCTAATTTAAGACAAGAATACCTATCTATCTATCTTCTGCACGCACAAACAAAAAAGTTTTCTATATAAAAACCCAATTTTCGACCGATCGTTCCTATGGCAGCTATATGATATAGTTGTCCGATCTTAATAGGATTTTGCATATATATGAGGAGCATAGTAAAACTAATAAATACCGAGTTTGGTCAAGATATCTTGATAAACTAAAAAGTTTCTCATACAAGAACCTACTTTTCCATCGATTGTTCCTATGGCAGCTATTTAATATTGTAGACCGATCCAGCTGGCTCCAACATATATACTGCGTGCAACAGAAAGAAGCACTTCGTTTCATAAAGATCGGCTATATCGACTCGACTGTTGATACTGATCAGGAATATATATATGGAGTCGAACATATATCCTTCTATGCGCTACACATTTCACGACAAACTTATAATACCCTCCTCAAGGCTTTAAAAACTTCTGGAAGTACGTAACTCTGCTTAAGTAATGCCCAATTCTGGACATTACCGTTAAGCGTATCCGAGAAATCTTACCAGGTAGTAGGAGTCGTTGTATCTGTTTGGCAGCACCGTGGGAAAGTAGTGCTGATAGAGTTTGGCAGTGCCGCGCATGTCCTCGTAGCCCTGGTTGGTCAGATGCTCGTCCTTGTCGACGGTAATGCTGGTATTCCATTTCCACATCTGGATGGCGATCAGATCGGCTGGGCACAAGGCGTTCGTATCCGGCTTGGTATGCAGCACGCGATAGTTCTTCACAATCAAATCACGTAACTGCAAGGATCAAACGAGCGCATATTAAAGCCGTGTTGAGTTGGGCAATCAAGGATAAACAGACTTCTTCCAACCGCGATGCCTCCTTGATGAATTTTGTTTTGGGCAGCCGCGTGCCGTGCCTGTGATAGATCCACATTTTCTTGGGCTCACAGCCGGGCACCTGGTACTGCTTGTCCATGTTGGTGCCCTTGACAATCTGATAGGCTGTCTTCGAGCCAAACTGACGCGTCTGCAGTCGCTCCGTGTCCTTGCCGAAGCAATAGTCCTGCTGGGCACGGGCCACGGCCAGAAGGGCCGTCAACAGCAACAGCAACAGCAGCAGACGCATGACTGCAATTGGGAATAAGAGAATAGGAATAAAGCTCATCAAATTTAAGTTGCCCAGCCTTTTGTCGATATCCTTGAACTGTCGCCCAGGTATCATATGTGGACATAGACAGCTGAAGGGGGGTCGGGCGGATAGATGGGGGCAGGTCATAAGGTGTGGCATTTAAATTGTTCTGCCAAGGAGTTGAGTCAAGACAATAAGGGCAGGGCCCACGACGTTGGCCAGTTACGAGAGAGAGCGAGAGATTCCAACGGAATTTTAGCCAAAGAAAATGCCAGCTCACACACACGCACACACACACACACACACACACACACACGCAGATATAAACACCTGGAAATTAGGCTAATGATTTTGCGACTGACAAATTGGTGCAGTTTTCCATTGCCACCTGCCCTGAGTCATCATAACTGCCACCACCCCAGCCCCTTCCCCGACATTCCATCCCAACAAGTTGGGTTTGTCATAAAAAAGGTCATGTAATGTTTCAATTTGTAGCTCTGTTTACACGACCCATTTGACGGGGGCCTAGCCAACCCGCATCCAAATTGATTTATTCCCAATGTGGAATCCCCCCCTAAACCCCCCTCATAGACTGCTCGCTTGATGGTGACACAATGGCTGAGTTAATTGACAGACTTGGAGGAAACATGAAAAAGGTTCTAGTCTGGAATGCGCAACTAGAAGATACCTTAAAATCAGCACGTAGCTGCGGTTGCAGACTTTCGAACTTCCTTCTAAACATATCTACAAAAATCTATAGCAGAAGAAGAAGAAGATAGCGAAAAAATATGTTGGATTCCTTACGTGAATGGTATATAATAAGGCTAAAGCTTTGGATTGAAGATTTCGACATTGGATTGGACGGACAAATAGACATGGCCAAATCGCCTCATCCTTTTCACCCGATCAAAATATATACATATGTATATCATTTATGGGTTATAAATGCATCCGTTACTTATTACATACACCTGCATACAACCATAATACCCATTTTCATTGTTTACAGGGTATTCTAGCTTAAATTCGAAATTCGTTCGTATAGCAGGCCTTTACTTTGACAAACTGTTTTACAGTCTATTCAACTCGGAATTTCTAACGACCTACGAATTATCATTTATTATTCTAGACTCGAGCCATGGATCATGTCAAGAAATTCTTATGCGCGATCAAGCCGACCAAGGGCCAGCAGGAGATGGCCAAGGCCTTGTGAGTACCCTAAAGAAATTATCAGAAATTGATTAATATAGTCTTAGGTCTTTTGCCACGCCCACAGCATACCCTCAGCTGGCTATTTTGGCATGGCTGGAGCCTTGGCTCTGATCTACTTCACAGACTGGCGTCTGATCACGAACTATATCCCGCTCTATAACACAAAGTACCCAAAGCCTGAGACTAAATAGCTGAATACCCTGGAAGAAAAGCTCAACTAAAATGTTTAAATGTATTCTGAGACTCTACCGAAACTGTGCCATATTATCCACACGATTTTTATATGTTTTTGCCACAGTTTGTTGAAGGTCTTTCAACTAGCATAAAATGAAAAACACATTTCATATTCCATTTCTGTTGGGGAATACGCAAAAGTAAATAGATCGATGCCAATCAAAATATGCAACAGCTGAGGAAAAACAAAAACAAAAATACCAAAAAAACCAAAAATAGATAATAGACAACTTTTAGTAGAATATCTTAGAGGTCGTCGATGTAATAGGCTAATAAAAGCAGATGTATGTCAATTGTGCAACATGCTGTATTCATGACGTCAGAGCAGGGTCTACAGCGGGGGCAGCTGCGGGGGGGATGTAAACTAAGTGCTGCGCTGGCAGCCGCAATTAGCTGCGGCGATTTTCAATTTTCAATTAAACACAACAGGCGGCTGCTTAACCAAAACAATTTCCCCATTCTCAAGGCCAGCTGCTTCCGAGATCTTTGAATAGAATCTTTCACAAGTGAGATCCACGCAATTTGGTTAGTTTCAAGAGCATGAATGAGGGATGGGCTTGAGAGGGGGTGGGTATTGTCAAGGAACTACTGTCTAATTGCCAATGTAATATTCGCAAGCCTAACCCTCTCCACCCCCCTCAAGGTCCCATCGTTTAATCGGTTCTCACATGCAATTGAATGCGTCGCCTTTGTTTTCTCAATGCGAAATTAAAATTCCAAATTGACTGCAGCGCATTTGTTTAGCTCACTTTGAGATCCATAAATGTCTGTGTGTGTGTGTGTGTGTGTGTGTGTGTGTGTGTGGGTGTGTATCTGTTTATAGCCATAGTTAACAATCTAAACCACATACACCTGCCCCTGGCTAGCCCCTTCACTCCACAATTTGTCACAGCTATAAATCGCTTTTATGTGTTCTAAAATAGCCATTGAAATCGTTTTATTATACATTTTCTATACTCTTCTCGTGGACAATATAAGCCATAGACAATGTATATTGTGGAAGACATCAGCGATACCCTATACATTCTTGATAGAAAGGGTATCCAGCCCTAGTCTTTAGTTCTGAGTTTGAGCCAAATGTATGTAACAGGCAGAAGGAAGCATCTCCAACCCCATAAAGTATATATATTCTTGATCAGCATCAATAGCCGAGTCGATCTAGCCATGTCTGTCTGTCTGTCCGTCCGTCCGTCCGTCCGTCTGTCCGTCTGTCCGTCTGTATGAACGCAAGGATCTCAGAACCTATAAGAGCTAGAGACTTGAAATTTTAGATGTAGGTGCTCCTAGTTTCCGCGCAGATCGAGTATGTTTCCGATAATCGATAACTTACTCCGTTTTCAAGCAATCGATAAAAATCGATATCGATATGCTGTTTTTTGGGCAATTTTGGTAAATAATAAGAGCTAGAGTCACCAAACCTGACATATAGCTTCTAAAATAGAATATATATATGCATTTGATGTTCGAAGCAGAGGGTTCAGGGTATACCCTAGTCGGGAGCTCCCGACTAGAAGCTCTTACTTGTTTTTTTGTGTTTTATAACTTAAATCTCGCTTTTCATATTTGCTGTTGTTTTCCGCATTGATTTATGCATTTATTTGTGTTTTCTTTAATGCGAACGTGACATTTAATAATTTTTCGTTGATTTTCCGCTGAAAATGTGTTTGCAACAATTTTGCCAAAATGCCCTCGTGCCGCTTTTCCTGCCCTGTATGAGTCTTTCCAAGCGGAACATAAATCAAATACAGATCTTATTTTTTTTTACCAGCTGGCACAAATATATGTATGTTACCATACATCATAATAGAACTGGAACTGCCCGAAAAAAAAAACAACTCAGAACTAAAGAAAAATTGGGTCCAATCATAATTTAATTGATTTGTTATGGCCGCACAGATTGCCCCTGCCCCAGAAATAGTCTCTAGCGAGAGATCGTTGAACTGTAAAGGGTTATCCAACACTGCAAAAGCCCTGAAAGATGGTAAGTTGGCAACTGCTTGTCAAATTTGACAGTTGGTTGTAGTTATCTGCTTGCAGCTGAGTGCAATGCACTACACTCAAAAAAATAATCTTGCTTTCGTTTATTCAAAATTAAGCTCGAAATTATTATACTTAAACCAAAAACAAGAACTTTTGAAGCCGCAAATTCTTTGAAACAAGACACAAGTACTCAAACTAATATATTTTGTACTTAAATTGAGAATTTAACAAGTAGTTATCTTTCTTTTTCTTAAGAAGAGAGATGCAAGATGCTTACGAACATTTTAACAGAAAATGTACTTGAAATGAATTTAGAATTCCCCATTTCTCTGAGTGTATTAATTAGCGGAAATATGCAAAATTTAGCAGCTACTGGCAGAGACTTTTAAGAGCCCAATTAGCATAAATGATGCACAAGATAAAATCGCTTGTAAACACTTTTAGATATTGACATGCACATATATAGTTAAGAATTATATAATATATGATATACCCGGCCGGAAGAGTCTTTCCTCAGTACCAAAAATCATGTCTAGACGCAGCTGAGAATTTTCAGGTTGTCCCTAGTTAATATGCAAGACACATAGACAGAGAGACCCTTTGGGATACCCATTGTAATTGAGAATTGCGTCTGGCGCATTTCAAATTAGAGAGCTGGCGCATAAATGTCAGACATTTCCCAAATGCTCGGTTTGATCTTCGCTCTTCGGTGGCATTAGACATTTAATTTATCACTTGTAGAGCTCTATGTATAAATACTGATAGGCAGCCCATAGAAGCGAAAGATCTCTCCCTCCACTTAGAATTATGTGTGTTGACCTTAGGCGTATACTTAGATAGCCAAGGGAGAAAGGGAGGGAGGGAGGTAGAGAGGGAGGCTAAGCACATTTTGGGTGCCGCTTGGAATTCTCGAAAAGTTCTCTTAGACACAATGGAATTCGTTCGGTATTATGACTAAAACTTGAAAATTCACTTGTGCCAAAAAAAAAGGCGATTGTGTGGAAAGCCTATAAATAAAATATGAGAGGAGCGGGGTGGGGGGAGGGGGAAGGGGGAGGAGGAGGGTTCTTCGATTTGGGCACGTCTGGGCTCGTGTTTTATGTAGAATTTTGATATTTGAATATATTCGAAAAGCATATTAAGTAATTCCCATTAAAAAGCAAAAAACCAAATGTTTGACATCAAACGCTATTTTCGGCATCCCCCCCCCCCTAAAACTGGTTGAGGGGTTCCCCCCTTGGCTAAGGTTAAGTGCAGATACTGCCACTGGCGTCTATTGCCAAAAGTCTATTTGGCAGCGTGGCCAAAACAAAATAAATATCTGGCAAGAAAGTCATGAAACGGCGAATTTTTGACAAATTTAGAAAATTTATGAAAAACGCCTGCGTATTGAATATTAGATATGTGGAAAACCTGACAAATGTGGAAACCATGAAAACTGTTCACAACTTAAGCGAGGGCGAGAAAAACGTAAGCCAACCGGTTTTCCAGCGCCCACACAAGTGTTTTTTTTCCCCATTTTCGAAAACCAATTTTCATGTTGCAGTTGCTGTTGGCCCGAAAGCGGAACGCGATCAGGTAGCTGGCACTCGAAGCGCTAACAACAAACACACACACAAAGACACACACACACAGAGCCAAATGTGTTGTGTGACATTCTTGTAGAGTTTGTTTTTTATGCTCTGTTCACAAAGGGAAAACAGTTGTATATGGGCTTAGGGGTCCCAACACCATTTTATTGGGGCGCTATTGAGTCTGTAGACTCGAAACCTGAAATATTTAATCACATAAATCCATGTCAGAGAAACTGTTTAAATTAGAGGGCTACGTTCACTGGGGGCGTGGCAAGAGGGCAAAATTACATAAATTTCTTCTCAAAAAGAAAGACTCTCAAAAGATATTTCTCACACAGTTGGCACATAAATTGCTGCAGGTCTTCGCTAACGATTGGGGCAAGGCATTTCGAGCCACGCCCAAAAACAAAAAATATATCTAATTTTTTCTGAACTGAAAGTTTTACATTAATCTGTGAGCATACCAAAAACAGAGTATTGCGAGTCGTTGTCGCCCGACTGTAACATGTCTTTTGACTAGCTTGTTTAATGAGCCTAAGAACTGAGCGTGTTTAATTAGTTGTGGCAGCCTATCTAAATCTTTGGGTTGGAGTCGCGTGCTGCACTGCCTCGTGGCAAGTCATAAATCTGTTCCCGAGAGGGGGGGGAAACATGTTTGCCCCAGGCTCAGTTTTGTTAACGCGATTTATTTACTCTACGCTTATCCAAGTCCATATACAAGCAAATATTTAAGTGTTCCACATTGTTTTTTTGTGAATTTGTTAATTCATTTGAGTGCCAGCTAATTATTTTGATTGCGCGCGTTTTTAAACGCGCGCGTTTATGCGCATGAAAGATTGCCTCAGATAGTTGACATGTGTGGGGTATAAGAGGGGGGTGGTTAGGTGGGGGTGGCAGAAACAGCTGTCAGCTGGCATTTACCATGTTACGTCAACATGAAGAACAGATCCCAAAACCTAGACTTGGGCTAAAAAAAACTTTCCAGAGAAACCAGCTTACAAGAGGTCAAAGAAACTAGGAAGAAACACGCCGAAGCTAGATACCTTAGATATAGATCTATAGCAATGCTTCGAAAATCTAAAGAAAACTCTATTTTCCACAGAAGCTGGGAGAATATCTATACCCTTACGATATCTATTAGGAGTACAGTAAGGCTTCGTGTACAAAGCTAAGCTAGAGTAACTCAATTTCTTTCGATTGTTCCCAAGTCCCTACTCTAGACGCCATGGCATAGTTGTAATACCCTAAGTAAGGGTAGAAGAGGTGAGAGACACGAAACGAAACGAAATGTTCCCAAACTTATTAATGTAGCCCCATCAAATTTCAGCAATTTTCATTCATATGCAAAAAGGTGGCGGCTCACAAGAAAATTAGATTTGTTGAGCTCATCAGAAAAAAAGAAAAAAAAAAAGTTGTTGTTAACTTTGCTGGTCAAATCAAATGTCGTGTCAATGCGAGACGCGAAGGCGTCTCAGGTTCATTGCATAACAGTTCTTATTTCAGACGATTGTTAATAAGCGACAACCGAAACAGGTTTCGGTTTAAGAAATCAACAATAGTTTTGTTCTATTGTTAATTACGTTTACTATTCAGGTACAGCCAGACATTCTATAGACAATGAAACAAATGAGTGCTATTTAAAAGAATGTTGCGTCCAATTAAGTTGTAGATTTTACAAATGCAACGAGAGAGTAAAAACCCACACAGACCTATTTGAATGTTTGAAATGCACTCGAGAGATGCGCACGTTGGGTTTAATAAATTTCTTAACCGATTCGCACAAACGGTAAACGGCAAACGGTAAACAGTGAACGCGCGACGAGCTGACAGAACCGCACGCGAACGCGACTAAAACGAAACTGAGGCGACGAGCGCAGCGCACGAGCGTTTATAGCAATGGCGAGCAGCAAGCAGTGTGACCAAAGAGAGAGAGAAAGAGAGAGAGAGAGAGAGGGTAAAGGCGAGACCAAAACGACAGAGATCTAAGCTCTCTCAATCGTGATGTTAATGTTAATTAGTTGCCCGACTATACGATCCACAATGCTCGCGGCTTTCGTTTCATTTGCAGTCCTAGCATTTTAAAAGGACTTCAGAGGATTACCTCTATAGTAGGTAAATTTAACCAGGCTAATAAGGTGATACGTGCAATTACGCAAGAGCTCATGCTTAACCGATCGTTCCTATGGGAGCTACATGTAGCTTTGCTTATAGATGAGGCTGTTTCAAGTATTTTGAAAAACAAGCAAGATTGTATATGGGAACTATCTGAATCTGGGCTCCCATCCGACCAATTATTATATATATATACGAGTCGAACCAAAGAATCTGCTCAATTTTCATAGAATCATTTATTTAATTTAATTTATAAAGCTATTTATTTGTTATCTATCTATTCATTTATCACAAGCAGAACTTAATAATTAATGGGAAAAATCTATTTATTTGTGTGTGTGTAATTGTTTCACTTTTATTTTTTTCAGTGTAGAGTGTGCTTGTTAAAAGTAGAAAATTTACATTTAGTGGAAAATACGTGAATCACTTCTGTTTTTTTTTTTTGGTACGAACTTTGAACATAGCCCAATTAGAAACTAAACCAGATCCCTGCGCTATTTAGATCAAATCTATGTCAGATCTAATGCATCAAGTAGACAAATGCGGCAATAAATGCGCTGACCAGCATTGAGGCACGTACTCCAGGCGCTCCGGAGCGGCAATAATACTCATCACAGTTGGCCTCCGAGATGGTTTTGTACTTCTCCAGCACATCCGACCAGTTGCAGAGGCCCACCTTGCACCAGTCTAGGTCCACGGCGTTTTGGTTGAGGAAGAAGACGACCTTCTCCTTCTCCAGCTCCGCCGGGCAATCGTATTTCACGGCCACGAAATTGCCCGCAAAGGGACCCAGCAGGCTGGTCTTCCAGCGGCGACTTGTCATCGAGTCGTAGTTATCCGCACGCAGTGGGATGTCATCCTTGTTGATGCCCAGCGCGGTGAGCAGCGTCTGCAGACCCGTCGAGTGGGCGAAGTAGGCCACCACATGGGGCGAGACGGGACTGCTCAGGCGGGAGAGCATGTCCTGCACGGCGCGGCAATTGAAGCGTGTGTTCTCCTCGAAGCCGTAGCCGGAGCCGTAGTAGTATTTGAGATCCTCGGCGTATTCCATGACGGTCACATGCTCGGGCAAGAAGGCGCCGCACCAGACGCTCGTCCGATCCACCTGCCAGGCCTGCTCGTAGCGGCACATGTCATACATCAGCTTGATGTCATCCTCGGCCAAAACCGTGAAGCTATCGGAGTGGAAAGGTTAGTTTCATCCTGGGTAACAGCAGGAACTTCGGACACTTACCCAAGTCGACGTGTAATATCCTCCACAGTATTATTCCATATGGCGCTTGTGCGATATTTCTGATACTCGGAGCCCACGCCCTTGTAGTTCTTATCCTTAAAGTCCGTGCAGTAGTCATAGGGACGCAGCAGCAGATCCTTTTCGGGTATATCCGCGGCAGTGGCCAGATTGCTGTCACCAAAGAGACCCTCGGCAAAGCCCTTGAAACTCTCCGTGGTGCGCTGTGTGTCCGTGTGACGGAACTGAAAGCAGGGCGAAAAGCTTTAGGAGGAACTGCAAGGACAACACTATCAATAATATTACCAGGTAGTAGGTGTCGTTGAATGTGGTGGGCAGCACCGTGGGAAAGTAGTGCTGATAGAGCTTGGCAGTGCCGCGCAGATCCTCATAGCCCTGGCTGGTCAGATACTCCTCAATGTCCACTGTGATGCTGGTATTCCATTTCCACATCTGGATGGCGGTCAGATCCGTATCGCACAAGGCATCAGTCTCGGGCTTGGTACGCCGCACTCGATAGTTATTCACTATCAAATCACGTATCTGCAAAGATCAGCAGGAGGAGTACATAAAGAAGGTGTTGGGCCAGGGTAACCAGGGTTAACCTACCTCTTCCAGTCGCGGTGCCGCCTCAATGGTGCTCGGCGTCGGCAGCCGTGTGCCGTGCCTGTGGAAGATCCATATTTTCTTGGGCTCACAGCCGGGCACCTGGTACTGCTTGTCCATGTTGGTGCCCTTGACAATCTGATAGGCTGTCTTCGAGCTAAACTGACGCGTCTGCAGTCGCTCCGTGTCCTTGCCGAAGCAATAGTCCTGCTGGGCACGGGCCACGGCCAGAAGGGCCGTCAACAGCAACAGCAACAGCAGCAGACGCATGACTGCAATTGGGAATAAGAGAATAGGAATAAAGCTCATCAAATTTAAGTTGCCCAGCCTTTTGTCGATATCCTTGAACTGTCGCCCAGGTATCATATGTGGACATAGACAGCTGAAGGGGGGTCGGGCGGATAGATGGGGGCAGGTCATAAGGTGTGGCATTTAAATTGTTCTGCCAAGGAGTTGAGTCAAGACAATAAGGGCAGGGCCCACGACGTTGGCCAGTTGCGAGAGATTCCAACGGAATTTTAGCCAAAGAAAATGCCAGCTCACACACACGCACACACACACACACACACACACACACGCAGATACAAACACCTGGAAATTAGGCTAATGATTTTGCGACTGACAAATTGGTGCAGTTTTCCATTGCCACCTGCCCTGAGTCAGCATAACTGCCACCACCCCAGCCCCTTCCCCGACATTCCATCCCAACAAGTTGGGTTTGTCATAAAAAAGGCCATGTAATGTTTCAATTTGTAGCTCTGTTTACACGACCCATTTGACGGGGGCCTAGCCAACCCGCATCCAAATTGATTTATTCCCAATGTGGAATCCCCCCCTAAACCCCCCTCATAGACTGCTCGCTTGATGGTGACACAATGGCTGAGTTAATTGACAGACTTTGGGGAAACACGAAAAAGATTCTAGTCTAGTATGCCCGACTAGAAGATACCTTTAAGCCAGGGTCGAGCTACGGGTGCAGAGACTCGAACTTCCTTCAAATTCCCTCCAATCGGTGCTTATTGTCCGATCTTTATGAAAATTTCGGGGTTTGCACTTAGCAGCAAAATTTATGCATATACCTAAGCACAATACTCTAGTCAAAGTATATTTACTCAATTTTGTGAAGGGCTACCAAATGAAGTTTTTAAGAATCTAACTCATTCATTTGTTGAGTATGCCTTAAAAGCAAGTTTCAATATCGCCATTTAAAAAGTGAAGAAGTTGTCGAATCAACTCGTCTTGTCTTCCCGATCAAGAATATATAAATCCCAGATATATGGTTTTGACTATTACATAAACTTCGATAGAACCATAATGCCCTTTTTACATATTAACAGGGTATTCTAGCTTAAATTCGAAATTCGTTCGTATAGCAGGCCTTTACTTTGACAAACTGTTTTACAGTCTATTCAACTCGGAATTTCTAACGACCTACGAATTATCATTTATTATTCTAGACTCGAGCCATGGATCATGTCAAGAAATTCTTATGCGCGATCAAGCCGACCAAGGGCCAGCAGGAGATGGCCAAGGCCTTGTGAGTACCTGTATGAAATGTCTTAATATAGTCTAAGGTCTTTTGCCACGCCCACAGCATACCCTCAGCTGGCTATTTTGGCATGGCTGGAGCCTTGGCTCTGATCTACTTCACAGACTGGCGTCTGATCACGAACTATATCCCGCTCTATAACACAAAGTACCCAAAGCCTGAGACTAAATAGCTGAATACCCTGGAAGAAAAACCTAAATAAAACCTTTATATGTTTTCTATATTTGGACCGGAGACTCTGTCGAAACTGTGCCATACTATATTTATATGTTTTCTGACATCTTTGGGAAGGTCTTTCAACTAGTTAAATAAACACCATAAACACCATTTCTTATACTTTGGTGATGCATTTTGGTTCCACAATGCAAAGGAAAATAAATCGATGCCAATCAAAATATACAGAATCTGGGAAAGAACAACTATAAAAAAAAGACAACCAAATGTTTGTAAATGTTGTTGCAGCCGCAAATAGAAAATATACAAATTTAAGACGAATATTCCAAAGGTCGAAGATGTAATACCCTAGAATCGAATCTAGGCGGAAATTTCAAGACTAATAAATCAGATTAAACCAAATAGTTTTTCGACTAAATGAAAATGGAGTTTTGTTAATGAAATTAGAAAAAGCCAAAGCGTGACATTTGAAGAACTAAGAAAACGAAGCACAAATTCCGATCGAATCGAGAGGAATTTAAATGAAAGCTCTGGACAGCTTTGATTAGGAAGAAAACAAAAATAGTTTCAGCAATCTACAATTTTGACAGAATATTCCCAAGACAGTTATAAACAAGTAAGAGCTTCTAGTCGGGTGCTCCCGACTAGGGGATACCCTGAACCCTCTTCTTCCAACATCAAATGCATATATATATTCTATTATAGAAGCTATATGTCAGGTTTGGTGACTCTAGCTCTTATTATTTACCAAAATTGCCCAAAAACAGCAAATCGATATCGATTTTTATCGATTGCTTGAAAACGGAGTAAGTTATCGATTATCGGAAACAAACTCGATCTGCGCGGGAACTAGGAGCATCTACATCTAAAATTTCTCTAGTTCTGAGATCCTTGCGTTCATACATACGGACGGACGGACAGACAGACAGACATGGCTAGATCGACTCGGCTATTGATGCTGATCCAGAATATATATACTTTATGGGGTCGGAGATGCTTCCTTCTGCCTGTTACATGCATTTGGCTTTCGCACAAATACAATATACCCTTTCTACCCATTTTTAATGGGTTCAGGGTATAAAAACAATATTAGAGAAGCTTTAGCATATTAATAGTAAAATAAATATATATATATAAGTTTTATTTAGCTTTGTTTTCCATGAGTCTTACAAACGTTTCCCTCAAATGTATTCTACATTTTAAGATACCCTTTGCATAGATTTAATTTATAGAGTATTTAGAGCAGAGACAACAGCTGCTGGTTGTGCCTTCTGCCTTCTGCCTCCTTTGTTTACAACTTTTACAGCCTCAATGCTTAATGCAATTGTGCAACATTTAGCGCCACGTCGGAGCGGGGGCAAGATCAGGCCCGGAAGAAGGAGAGGGGCAGGTCTGGAAACTAAGCGCAACTTTCAGTTGTCAGCCAAAACAATTTCCTCAAGGCCAGCTGCTTCCGAGATCTTTGAATAGAATGTGAGATCCACGCAATTTGGTTAGTTTCAAGAGCATGAATGAGGGATGGGCTTGAGAGGGGGTGGGTATTGTCAAGGAACTACTGTCTAATTGCCAATGTAATATTCGCAAGCCTAACCCTCTCCACCCCCCTCAAGGTCCCATCGTTTAATCGGTTCTCACATGCAATTGAATGCGTCGCCTTTGTTTTCTCAATGCGAAATTAAAATTCCAAATTGACTGCAGCGCATTTGTTTAGCTCACTTTGAGATCCATATATGTGTGTGTGTGTGTGTGTTTGTGTGTGGGTGTGTATCTGTTTATAGCTATAGTTAACAATCTAAACCACATGCACCCTGGCTAGCCCCTTCACTCCATAAATCGCTTTTGTTCTAAAAGTGTTCTAAAATAGCCATTGAAATGGCTTTATGGCACATTTTCTATACTCTTACTGAGGGTATATCAAACTATATAGAAAGCTTATTGTAGAAGACATCTTCGAGGCCGAGAGGTATATATATTCCAGATAAGAACGGTTGAGTTCTATGTGAACTGATCTCTACTTATGCATTGTAGGAGATCTCTTCGAACTCCAAAGGAATATATCATATACATATACTTGATAGAAAGTGTTGGAGAACTAATCTCTAGTTGTGACTTTCTAGGGAGTACTTGGTTTTTGGCTTTCGTAGAGCTCGAATTTTCCATGTTTTTCTTTTAAATGTAAACCACCCTACTATAATCCGAAATCGGTTCCAATACAGATCTTTAAAAGATCTTGAAATAAAGAAAATATCATTCTTCAACATTATAAAAATGTCTTCAATGTCTTTAAAATCAATTAATTCATATAAATTCTGGATTATTTATTATTTAATATATAAACTCTTGTAATTTTTTTCTACTCTTCTGTATATACATATATATATATATATATAGCCCAATTCTAATCTATATCAAATTTTGCAGTTGTTTTCCGCGTTGATTTATGAATTTATTTAGGTTTTCATTAATGCGAACGTGACATTTAATAATTTTTCGCTGATTTTCCGCTGAAAATGTGTTTGCAACAATTTTGCCAAAATGCCCTCGTGCCGCTTTTCCTGCCCTGTTTGAGTCTTCCCAAGCGGAACATAAATCAAATGCATATCTTTTTCATTTTCCATACAAAAAAACAATCTAGATTCGTGTCCAAAATTATGAAACCTAATTGATTTGTGACCCTGCCCCAGAAATATGCTCCGAGCAGAGAGAACGTTGAATTGCCGCTCTGCAGCTTTGAAAGATTGCGCAACACTGCAAAGCGCTTAAAGATAAGTGCAAGATAAGTATTTGCAGTGCGGATTGATAGACACGCAAGTGGCTCGCGTTTCGTGCGCGTTTCGCGCGCGTTTTTAAACGCCAAGTGCACAATAAACGCCCCGTAATTCGCAACTGCTTGTCAACTTTGACACTTGGCTGACAATAGCTTTAGTTATAGCAATTAGATGGCAGTGCAATCAAATACACTTGGAGAAAATTGAAAATTTGGTAAAAAATTCGAAAAATTAAAAACATTTTTGTAAGAAAAACCTTTTCAATCAGCAAATTCCTAAGAAAAGTTTTGCTTTGATTTGAAGCATTTTGATCTAATCGAAAAAAATGTTCGTTTTTTTCAGTGATTTACTGCTTCATATATAAATCAAGTATTATCAGCTCTAACTTATTTTTGTTGACGGCTTCCACTTGATTAAATTACGACATTATTGATTCGTATTTAATTTTAACACGAAATGTACTTGAAATTCAAAGCAGATAGTCGAAGGAACTTTCCTTCAGAATTTAGAACTACCCCCTTTTCTCTGAGTGTATTCATTAGCGGAAATATGCAAAATTTAGCAGCTACTGGCAGAGACTTTTAAGAGCCCAATTAGCATAAATGATGCACAAGATAAAATCGCTTGTAAACACTTTTAGATATTGACATGCACATATATAGTTAAGAATTATATAATATATGATATACCCGGCCGGAAGAGTCTTTCCTCAGTACCAAAAATCATGTCTAGACGCAGCTGAGAATCTTCAGGTTGTCCCTAGTTAATATGCAAGACACATAGACAGAGAGACCCTTTGGGATACCCATTGTAATTGAGAATTGCGTCTGGCGCATTTCAAATTAGAGAGCTGGCGCATAAATGTCAGACATTTCCCAAATGCTCGGTTTGATCTTCGCTCTTCGGTGGCATTAGACATTTAATTTATCACTTGTACAAATACTGATAGGCGGCCCATAGAAGCGAAAGATCGCTCCCTCCACTTAGAATTATGTGTGTTGACCTTAGGCGTATACTTAGATAGCCAAGGGAGGGAGGGAGGGAGGGTAAGCACATTTCCTCACACACATTTTGGGTGCCGCTTGGAATTCTCGAAAAGTTCTCTTAGACACAATGGAATTCGTTCGGTATTATGACTAAAACTTAAAAATTCACTTGTGCCAAAAACAAAAGGCGATTGCGTGGAAAGCCTATAAATAAAATATGAGAGGAGCGGGGTGGGGGGAGGGGGAAGGGGGAGGAGGAGGGTTCTTCGATTTGGGCACGTCTGGGCTCGTGTTTTATGTAGAATGTTGATATTTGAATATATTCGAAAAGCATATTAAGTAATTCCCATTAAAAAGCAAAAAACCAAATGTTTGACATCAAACGCTGTTTTCGGCATCCCCCCCCCCCCTAAAACTGGTTGAGGGGTTCCTCCCTTGGCTAAGGTTAAGTGCAGATACTGCCACTGGCGTCTATTGCCAAAAGTCTATTTGGCAGCGTGGCCAAAACAAAATAAATATCTGGCAAGAAAGTCATGAAACGGCGAATTTTTGACAAATTTAGAAAATTTTTTGAAATTTTTAGAATATGAAAAACCTGACAAATGTGAAATGTATGGAAACTATTTACAAATTAAGTGCACAAACAAATGGTTTTTCTTTGTGTTAATTATTTTTTTAATTTAAGATAAAAAACAGGTAGCTGGCATACCTCAAGAGGCATTAGCATATACTCTGTTTATCAAGTGCCAAAGGAGTATATTGGCTTAGGCCCAAATAGCCTATTGAAACAAAGAACTTGAAACTTGGATTCAATATTCCCTCACATTCAGTTCAAGTAAAGGACAACGTACTACGTGGAACTTGATAAAGTCGGAAATCTATATATATTCTATATTCTGACTTCCTCTCAACATCCTCTCAACGTCTTTCTGCTTATGAAGGCGTGAAATATACAGAAAATAAACGTCTTACACAATCACAAAATCCCTTAGGTTCGAACTATGTAGGTTTTTTTACTCGACACAGTTTGAAAGTCTTTGGAATTACAGTTTTAGAGTCAGCAATCCAGTTGTTTAACATTCTAATGGGTAATCACAATGTCAACAGGGGCTCACACCTGTGATATTATCTATGGCATTACCTTTGTTTAATTAGTTGTGGCAGCCTATCTAAATCTTTGGGTTGGAGTCGCGTGCTGCACTGCCTCGCGCTTATCCAAGTCCATATGCAAGCAAATATTTAAGGGTTCCACATTGTTTTTTGTGAATTTGTTAATTCATTTGAGTGCCAGCTAATTATTTTGATTGCGCGCGTTTTAAACGCATGCAAAACGCGCGCGTTTATGCGCATGAGTAATTGTCTAGAAAAGTTGACAATAGTCAGCGGGGTGTGAGGGGTATAAGAGGGGGCGGGGGCGGGGGGTAAGTAACACTTGTCTGCCTGAAATGCAATCTTTCGATTGTTCCTATACAAAAAGCGTATGCGTTACATACTCCATGACATAGTCATGATACCCTAAATAAGGGTACAGAAAGAGTCACACGCTGAGAAAACAAAAAAAAAACACGAAACAAAATGTTCCCAAACCGATTAAATTTCAGCTGTTTTCATTCATATGCAAAAAGCTGGCTCAAAAGAAAATTAACCGGGAATTCGGACGAGTATTTTGTTGAGCTCATCAGAAAAACAGTTGTCATTCGAAATGTTGTCATTCGAAATGTTGTCATTCGAAATGTCATTCGAAATGTTGTCATTCGAAATGTTGTTATTCGAAATGTTGTCATTCGAAATGTTGTTATTCGAAATGTTGTTATTCGAAATGTTGTCATTCGAAATGTTGTTATTCTAAATGTTGTCATTCGAAATGTTGTCATTCGAAATGTTGTCATTCGAAATGTTGTCATTCGAAATGTTGTTATTCGAAGTGTCATTCGAAATGTTGTTATTCGAAATGTTGTCATTCGAAATGTTGTTATTCGAAATGTTGTCATTCCAAATGTTGTCATTCGAAACGTTGTTATTCGTGTTAACTTGTGTCGTGTCAATAAGAGATCAATTATATAACTTTTATTAATGAACGACTGCCCAAACAGGTTTTTCACAGCAATTTTGTTTAAAAATCAACAAAAGTTTTGTTTTTTTTCTTCTCTTTTTAATTACATTTACACTTGAGGAACAGTCAGAGAAAGACAATGTGTACTATATATAAATAAATGTGTTATTCAATTGAGCTGTAGCTGCAATGAATTTTTAAGTGCATATTAACGTTAAGCAATTTTTAATTATTAAATTTTAGAAATGCGACACAAAAACGACGCTGAGAGAGAGAGAGAGAGAGGGAGAGAAAAAACACACACAGACCTGCAGTCGAGAGAAGCGCTTGCACGGTTTAACGGATTTCTTAACCGTTTCGCAAAAACGGTAAACGGCAAACGGGCGACGGCAAACGGGCGACGAGCTGACAGAACCGCACGCGAACGCGTTCAAAACTAAACTGAGACGACGAGCGCAGCGCACGACCGTTTATAGCAATGGCGACATCGTGCTCTCTCTCTCTCTCTCTCTCTCTCTGTCAGCTGCAGCAGATGGTCTGATAAGCACTTTGACAGGGACATGTCACGACATGCCTAGATCCTAAACGCCTGCTGGAGTGCGTCTTGGCAATGATAATGCAGCAACTAGTGCTATGTATGTTAATAAATTAGTTATGTTAAGCTGATAAGCGAACAATGGAAATAAAAGTGTGTCTGTCGAGATTTCCGTCTAGCCTTACAGTTAATCACAGAGATTAGTTTGGTTACAGTTATAAAAAGAAAAAAAAATGAGCAACTATTGATTTGCCAGGCACTCAGGCAAATCACAAACAACAAATATTCGCCTGCGCAATTGTTGATATGGTTTTTGGTTCGGTTAGTTAGTTATTGACATAATCGAGTGTCGTATAATTTATAAGGGCAAACACTTGATGCTCGCCTGCGTCATTTGTGCCGGTTGATAAAAAATGACTTTGGGTTTAGAGAAATGCTTCGTCCGGCAGCTCGTTGGCCGTCTCCATGCGCAGAAACTGCTCGAGCGCCAGCTGGAAATCCCAGTTGGCCTCCTCCTGCACGATGCGTGTACACCATTTGGGTCGCAGCCCTGTTATCTCCTGGAATATGTAGAGCTTGTGCTCCTTGACATCCACCGTCTCTTGCTCGGGCATGGACAGCTCCTGATCCATGGGCAGCTCAACGAACTTGAAGGCATCGCGCTGCTGCTTCGGCGACGGATTCATGATATTGAAGCGCTCGTTAATGATCTTCATGCTGCGCGCTCTCTTGCCAACGCCCTAAAAGGAGACAAATGATGAGGCATCCGGCAATAGCCACGTTTGCAGAGCAACTTACCAGGCCGGTGGCATCCACCTTGAGCACAAACTGCCTGCTGAAGGCCAGCAATAGATCGGCGCCATCGTGCAGCACGCCGTTCACATAGATAATGGCCATTTGGTCGTCATAGTGCATCACATCCGTCTGCAGTGAGACATAGTCGTGCGTGACCTCCGGCAGCTGCATGAGCACCAGCATTATATCATGGCCACCCACATGGACACGGCAGGTGTCGCGCGAGTTCTTCAGAAGATTCCTGCTAAAGTAGTTGTACTTGTTGATGCGCTTGCACAGCTCGTTGCTGGGCTTTACGGGATGGCAACGTCGGATGTCATAGCTGCAGGTCAATGTGAATATGGAGCTGTCCGTATAGAAACGGCTCAGATTGATGCGCTGATCGGAGAGCTCGAATTCACGCAGAAATTGGCAGAGGAATAGCTCGCCGGTCAGCTCATAGGCAGCCGGATCGCATAGGAAATCCTTTTGCGTCGTCAGACCTGGCCTGCTGCTCAGATCCACATCGTCCAGCCGCTGCAGACCGGGACATACCTCCTTTACCGCGCGTATATAGGCGCTGGGCAGACTGTACTTGCGGCACAGGGAATTGCCGTGCAGGCGCAAGGATTTAAGCGGCACCTCGCTAAGCGCACCAATCGCCGAGATATCATCTATCCAATTCTGACCCAAGTCCAGGGCCTGCAGGCCGTTCAGCAGCGACAACGTGCGCAGATTGTTGAGGCCCAAGATCTTATTGTTGCACAATCGCAAATCAACGCAATTGCCGAGAAACTTGCGCGAGGCCATACGCAAAATGCTGTTGAGTATCCTGGCCGAGGTCAGGCACACATGCACATTCTCGAGAACATCGGTGTTCTGGAACTGTTCCAGATTGAGCACACGATTGATGGCATTGAAGCGCTTCTGCAGTGCCTCCTCGATGCACTGCCTGGGCTCGACATGTCCCTGCTTCAGTGTGCTCACATTCATGCGCAAATAGTAGGCAATGGAGCGCTGATAATTCGAATTCAGTTGCGGTATTTTCATCTCCAGATTGCAATTGAGCACCAGATGCTCGATCTGATCGTAGCAATCGCGCACCAGAAACCGATGCTCGCCGCCGTCGTACTGCAAAAGTTAACAAGAAGCATTGAGATTATGTCTAGGAAGCGAGTTCTTCTCAACTCGCTCACCTTGTAATAGCAGGGATAAAATTCGCTCAGCTCGCTGGAAACCAAAATGAAGAAATAGTCAAACAGATCCTCCTTGGCAAATTCGTGCTCCGGATCGGGTATCTGTCATAAAAATGTTTCATTTCATTTGCATTTCATTTGTGTATTCATCAATGAGCCTACCAGAAAAGCATGCCAATCCTTGCTGTCCCTGAACTGGGCCAGCCTCGATTTGTTGCTCCAGTCAATACGCACGCCATCGCACTCCACGTCGATCTCATAGTTGAGCGGCGTGTACATCTTGTACAGCTTGTCAAAGGGCACGCCGTCCTGCACGGGCAGCAAAAGGTCAGATAAGTGGGAAAGTCTCCACCTTTAGCCCAGCTTTAAGAGGCGCAGGCTCTAACTTACCACAATCTCAAAATTGCCCAACAATGGCTTTAAGCAATCGGGATATTTGGACGACTTGGTTATCGGATTATTGGCCAGATTCAGCTGCTTGGCACGAATGCGTTGCAGGTCGCTGCAAAGGCGCTTAGCTGAGGTTAACTGCAATCCCAAAAACTTGGATTAGTTGGAGAAATGCAGACTTAAACATGAGCAAAAGCTCACCATATTGCCGGTCAGATCCAACAGCCCGTAGTCAATGTCACCAAAGATTCTCAGCGGACCCAGATCGCACAGTTGATTGTGGGCTAAGCAAAAGCCTTTTATGGCACGACGTCGATCGTCGTTGTTGTTGATGGTCGAGCAGACCAAGTGGAAAGTGCCCGGATTCGAGAGCCTCACCTCAAAGTGCCTAAAATACGGATTGGCACTGAAGTTGCTCAGATTAAGCACGCCATGCACGCCGTGATAATGCTCCAGACGGCCCAGGAGGCGATCTATTACCTGGGGAAATGTGAAGTAGTTAGATAAACAACGGGCTAATTGACAAGTATATATATAAAGATTGTTATCCTGATTGATGATTAACGAGGGGAGGAGGTGGGGAGAGAAGGCGGGAAGAGGAGACGGGAAGAGGAGGCGGGAAGAGGAGGTGGAGAGAGGAGGAGGAGAGAGTAGGCAGAAAGAGAAGGAGGGGAGAGGAGGCGGAAAGAGGAGGCAAGGAGAGGAGGCGGAAAGAAGAGGTAGGGAAAGGAGCAGTGAAGAGGAGACATGGAGAAAAGGCGGAAAGAGGAGGCGGGAAGAGGAGGCGGGAAGAGGAGGCGGGAAGAGGAGGCGGAAAGAGGAGGAGGAGAGAGGAGGAGGAGAGATGAGGCGGCGAGAGTAGGCAGAAAGAGAAGGAGGGGAGAGGAGGCGGAAAGAGGAGGCAAGGAGAGGAGGCGGAAAAAAGAGGTAGGGAGAGGAACAGTGAAGAGGAGACATGGAGTAAAGGCGGGAAGACGAGACGGGAAGAGGAGACGGGGAGAGGCGGCGGCGAGAGGAGGCGGGAAGAGGAGGCGGAAAGAGGAGGCGAGAAGAGGAGGAGAGATGAGGCGAGAGGCTGAAAAACAAGGCGGGAAGAGGAGTCAGGAGAAGATCTTACTTAACCTCTCAGCATATATATTTTGTATACCTGAGAAATGACGAAGGCAGGTGAAATTTGATTCCTCTGGTTGTCAGCCACATTGAACCACACGCTCAAATAGAGCTCGGCGCCCGTAGAGACTCTTATTTTGAGGCCACGATTGAAGAACTTGTCCAGCGCGGGCTTGCAGGCGCGCACCAGAAAGCTGTCCACATGACTGCCGCACTGAGGTCACAAGATTTTAGCTGCAGGCAGATATTTAAAAACAACCTTCGGCCTACCTGATAGTTGACGGGAAAGAACTGTTCGCCTTCCACCGCATCGAAGACGGCGTTCAGGATTAGCTGCTTGGGGTACGCGGAAAAATTGAGAACTCCCTCGTGGTGGACGCAGAACTCGATCCAATTCAAGCCCGGACTTCCATCATAGTTTTTGCACTTGTAGTACCTTTTGGCACATCTGTACTGCAGCAAAATGGGCTGGTGGCCATCGCCAAAGTCTACTAAACGATCCTGTGCTGCAAATTGGGCTTTAATTTGCTGGTTAATTAAAAAAAAACATCATTGCATTTCTTACGCAGACTTCTACTCGCCGGCATTTTAGCAGCTTGACATCGATAACAAAATGTATCGAACGATAGCTTAAAGTATCGAACGCGATAACTTTTCGAGAAAACAGCTGTTGCTGGCAACTGTTTGTTTTTTTTTTGTGCGATTAGGCTTTGTTTCAAAAACATGTAAATGCACAAAGTTAATATGTATTAAGTATGTTAATTCGTGGGCTAAGATTATAGTTTTTTCGCGGGCGAAAAGTGATTTTTAAAAACGGTTGATCAATGATTAGCACTGCCCTTTAGTGCAGCTTTGTGTGTATGTGCGAATATACATATGTAAATATGTGGGCTTACATGTATGTGTGTATGTGTATGTACATAATTACATATATGTATGTGTTTGTATGTAATTTCTTATGCTACTTGTAGCAAGTTTTTTATGTTGAAATCCAGGAAATGCATATATAGGGATATATATATATATACCATTTACTTAACACAATATTTATTCTTAATGCCTAGAACAGAGTCTATGAGATATTTGTAATTACTTCTTGGATGTCTTCTTCTTGGCGCTGGTCTCCTTTCTGCCCTGATAGAGGCCCGTGTAGTAGCCGGACATGTACCAGGCCGTGAGCATGGCCACAAAGTCCTGCTCCGGCTCGCCATCCATGCCGCCGGCTGGTGTAAACATGGGCGGAACTAGCGGCATCGGCGGCATAACCAAGCCAGGTGAAAGACCTGCTGGACGTGTTGCTCCAGCCGTTTGCTTGCCCTTGGCCACGGACTTTTTAGCGCTCTTGGTACGCTGCTCCTGCTGCCCCTCCTCGGCCTCTGAACGCTTGGCGTAGAGTATTTGTTCGCGACGCGCCTTGTTGCCCCAGGTCGGCAACAGATCGGCTAGCAGCACCTCCTGTTCGTTTTCATAGCCCACGTAGCGCAGCACGCAGGTGCCTGCATTCTTGTCGATGGACACCACTGTAGCCTCATAGTCCAGGCCATCAGTGTAGGTGGCACGCACAAATTCGCCCACCTTGAAAGCACGCTCCTGCTCTTCTTCTTCCTGTTCCAAATCAGGCTCTGACGTTGAGGCCGGGTCAGTTTTATTGTCGTTCTCAGCGCCAGTTCCCTCACGCGTATTGGTCGAATCGGCGATGCGACGCGCCAGCGTCTCGCGAGCCAGGTTGACAGAATCGTCGTAGGCCTTGATCAATAGGCTATCGTCCCAAATATTTTTGTCATCAGCCATTTTTAATGCGATTTGCTTTTAAGCTCTACCGTGAATGTGAATTTTCGAAATGCAGCCAGCATATGCATTGGCGTCTGCATTCATCGATACTATCGTTGTGAGTTGCGATATAAAAACAGAGTTGTCGCAACGCCTGAAGTAGACTTACAGTGAATGGCAAGCGAAGAGGAAGAGCAAAAGCGAAAATCATTCTCAGCTCGCAATTGTGTTTTGTGTTTCCTCTTAAAAATTAAACATTAAAAAAATGGCAACAGTGGAGGCATTATACAAGGAACTAACCGCCGAATGGACCAAGCGGCCGCCAAATACGCCCAAGTGCGGCCAACTGCTGGAACAGCTAAAAGTGGCATTGGTCAAAATGTCATTTCTGCCCACAGACGGCGGCGATGCGCAGAACTCGAAGAAACAGCTTTTGCTGGCGCGTTCCGTGCTGGAAATTGCCGTGGAGCACAGCGTTCTAAACAAGGATCTGCTCGCCTTCGAGCGCTACATGTCACAGCTGAAGTGCTATTACTACGACTATGCCAAGATCATTGGCGAATCGGACAGCAAATACAAATTGTTGGGCCTCAATCTGCTCTATCTGCTTTCCGGCAATCGTGTATCCGATTTCCATACAGAACTGGAGCTGCTCTCCGTTGATATCATACAGCACAATCAGTTCATACGACCCATTCTGGCGCTGGAGCAGTACATCATGGAGGGACGCTACAACAAGATATTTCAGGCCAAATCCTCGATGCCCGCCGAGGTGTATAACTATTTTATGGATTTGCTGGTGGAGACGGTGCGCGATGAAATTGGCGCCTGCATTGAGATGTCCTACGAGAAGATATCGGCCAAGGATGCCGCCAAGCGTCTGAATCTCCGAGTGCCCGACGAGATTAAGGCATTTGGCGAGAAGCGTCAATGGAAGCTGGAAAGCAATGGCAATTACAGCTTCACCGATCGAAGCATCAAGCCCAAGGAGCTGCTGCCATCCGAGGAGCTGGCCGAGCAGGTGCTCAGCTATGCGCGCGACCTGGAAATGATAGTTTAAACCTTGTAATAAATAATAACTAAAAGAATAAAGTCAAATATTTTCTATTTAATGGACAACATGAAAAAATGTGACCAGTTGCAACGATATTTGCCTCACGATTTCATCGATTAATCGTCTATTGTGCAAAATCGATAGTTTGACTCGGAAGCACATCACTAATTTGTGGGAACGAACGGGTGGAGAAAAATTGTCATCGCTCGCTGCGATTTATTGTGATAAAATTTGTTAAAAGGCAACGCAAATAAGTTGAAAAATCAACGCAATGGCCTGCAACGCAAGCAAGACGCACCTCTTGCGCGCTATCGCTGTAAGTACTTATATCATTTGCTGCAACTTAACCAAACAAATTGTCGTCCAATCTGAATTCTGCGTTCGGCCCAAATCGTGTTACGTAAAAGTTAAAGTTGCAATTTTGTTTGTGTTCTATCATGTTGCATGGCTAGAAACGCGGTTATGCCACCTGCCCACGCCTCGTCGGCGACACTTCACCCATCAATGTCAACGTGCTCGAGAACAAGCTGGTCGTGGCCACAGCCGATGCCTCGGTGCCCGTTTCCCGTGTCTCGATTGTGCTGCGGTAAGTCCTGATGCCGCCTCCAATTACGGCTCCCAGTTATAATTGTCTGGTTGCAGCGCCGGCTCCCGCTACGAGGCGTACGACACGCTGGGCGCCTCGCATTTGCTGCGTCTGGCTGGCAGCCTGAGCACGCAGAGATCCTCGGCATTTGCGATTGCCCGCCACATTCAGCAGGTGGGCGGCACCTTGACCACCTGGGGTGATCGCGAGCTGGTTGGCTATACCGTGGAGACGACCTCGGATAATGTGGAGACCGGCCTGCGCTATCTGCAGGATCTGCTGCAGCCCGCCTTCAAGCCCTGGGAGCTGAAGGACAATGCCAAGACGCTGCACAATCAGCTGGATGCCGTCACAACCGAGGTGTGTGCATAATGCAGTCATTTGTGAGTCGGACAACAATTCGCAACTATTGAACTCATCTTGCAGGAACGCGCCATTGAGCTGGTGCACAAGGCCGCCTTCCGTCGCGGCCTGGGCAACTCCATCTATATACCCCGATTCCAGTTGGGCAAAATCTCCAGCGAGAGCCTACTGCACTATGTGGCCAACACTTTTTCGGCCGGCACCGCAGCCGTTGTTGGCGTCGGTATTGACAACAACCTGCTGTCCGGCTTTGCCCAGACCCTCAGCTTCCCCAGCGGCGGCGGCAACAGCAGCAAGAGCAGCGCCAGCTATTATGGCGGTGATGCGCGCAAGGACACGGCGGGACATCGCGCCGTTGTCGCTGTTGCCGGCGAAGGTGCCGCCGCTAGCAACCACAAGGAAGCGCTGGCATTCGCCATACTAGAGCAGGCAATTGGCGGCGATGCTGCCACCAAGCGTGGCAAGTCGGCCGGTGCCTTTAGCGAGGCTGCCAGCTGCGCCAGCGATGCGCCCGTTGCGTTGAAGGCCCTCAACAAGAGCTACTTGGATGCTGGCCTCTTTGGCTTTGTGGCGTCCGCCGATAGCAAGGATATTGGCAAGACTGTTGAGTTTCTGGTGCGCGCTCTCAAGTCCGGCTCCGTCTCCGACAAGGATGTGGCACGCGGCAAGGCGCTGCTCAAGGCACGCATCATCTCCAACTACTCCTCCGACAGCGGTCTGATCAAGCAGATTGGTCGCCAGGCGGCTTTGACCAGAACCGTTTTGGAGGCCGACGCCCTGGTGGCTGCCATCGATGGCATCTCGCTGGACCAGGTGCAGGCGGCTGCCAAAAAGGTTGCCGGCTCCAAGCTGTCTGTCGGCGCCATCGGCCACCTGGCCAATGTGCCCTACGCATCCGATTTGGCTTAAGTAGATAATCTTGTTAACTGTATATGTAATTTAAACCCTGCTGCCGGCGAGATCTAACGAAATAAACCTGTTGGAAGTCACGAAATCGATTCCAAGTGCGACTCTTGAGCGATCTGATATGGGAGAATGTGAAGAATCCCGGAGGATGTGTGTACAGGTAAGTGAGCTAAGGTAAAACTCAGGTGTTGACATCTCCTCCGTACATTTATTAAACAGATTTCCATAGTAAAATTTCGTAATTAAAAGTAGACAAGAAAAAAACAGTTAACTTCGGACAGCCGAATATTAAATGCCCTTGCAGAGATATGGGAATAATCTTGCAGTTTCTATATAACTGATATATAATATAATATATAATATAGTATTACAATCTTTGCAATATCTTTAACGATGGGAAGCTTAGGATATAGCTACACGATCGATATCCATATCGGAGATCGGACACAAACGGATAGACAAGATTACAATATTCCGCCGGGGCATTTGAACATATGTCGACACACGATCCCTGCCATTTGTATATATATATATCTTTGGAGTGTATCCAACTCCAGAAACATCTTTGGAAAATGGAAATATAACATAGAATATAGAATACCTGTACATGCATATATATATAGGTGTGTGTATAGATTAGTCGCAGATTAGTTGAGAGTGCCCTGTCCTACAGAAGGATGACCACAATTATGGCCACAAAGAGCGAGACAATGACCAGCCAGTAGCCCCAGGTGCTGTCGCGTCTGTTCACCTGGCTGATGCTGCGCGTCTCGCGCTGCACGCCCAACTCCACGCGATCCATGGTGTTGGCCAGATTGTCCAATATGTTGTTCTGGTCCTCGACCTCGTCGCCCAGCTGTGTGGCCAGATTGCGCTGACGCGATATGGTCGCCGACAGCACCTCCAGGCCACGATTCTGATGCTCCAGTATCGCTTCCTGCTGTTGCCTAAGCGCGGCCACATCCTGCGGCCGACCTGGCGCTGCGGCGGACGCACCCTGCCACACAGAGCTCGAGCTAGCCGGCAGCTGGTCGGCGCGTGTGCTGCTCGTGTATTTGGCATCGGCTTCGCGCAGCTGCGATGCCAGCTTATCGTAGTTGATGCGACGCCGCTGCAGCTCCTCGGCCGGGCACAGCTCCCAGAGAATGTCGTTGTCCAGCGCCACCTTCAGGTGACTCACATCTTTGCGCAGCTGCTCCAGGCTGGCCTCAATGCTGCTGGTCAGTCGCACGTATTCCGGCGCGGCGGCTGTGCCGCCCAGTTGCCGCCGCTGATTGAGCAGCACCAGAATCTGATGTCGCAAGCGTTCGCAGCCCTCATACTCGATGTCCCTGCAAATGGATGCGGGCTATTAAATGAATTACTGTGTGCACATCCGCATACCATGAGTCATGTTCCACCAGCGACATGTTCGTTGCAAGTTTTTATCGCAGCCAGTTAGAGCATTTGTAGGCGTTCTTTAGAGCGTTGCAAACTGCGTTGTTTTCCTTTTGTTTCTTAGAGGCCAATGTTAATTTAACAGAAGTCAGCTGCTTAACAGCGCTGTTGTTATTAACATTGTCTCCTTTTAACTGTGCGCGCGTTTTACAGCCTTATTTGCAATGCAAATAAACTAGGTTGGTTAACATTTCAGTAACAGCGGCAGTGTTGCCAGTTTCTCACGTTTCCCGTCAGATTTGGCATTTTATGGTGAAATTGTAGAAAACTGTTTGTATATAACTGACAACAGAAACTGTCAAATTCCAATTGTTTCTATTTTTTTGAACACTTTAATTGCAACTCTAAGGCTTCAAGTATATATATATTGGTAAAAATATATATATACACGTTTTTATATAAAAACAACTTGTAATTCTCAAATAATTAATATAGATATATAATAAATTTAAAATTAGAGAATATTATTTAATATAATTATTATATTGTTTCCTACAATCGTGTTCAACAAGTATACATATGGCCTTTTCACTTCTGTTCCCCAAAACTGGCTTGTTTTGCCGCTAAAAAAGTTGGCAGCACTAATCAGAAGCCAATAACAGCTCAGCTGTTTGCTCGCTTTCATTTAACATTGTGTTTACAGAACTGTTTAACAGTATTAATTGTGTTTAAATTATATACGCTTCTCATTATTACTACATAAATAACTATAATTAAATCGATTTGGTAATACTTTCTAAAGTAATATAATTTTGTCTGTGCAGGTCAGCTCAACAAATGTCTGGAGCATTCCACGCAACCCGCTTTGCTGTCATCTGCTGTGAACAGCATACTATCCATAACATTGGACTAGTGGCTGTAACAGCATTCGGCGACATCTGCTACTGCCCACAATTTCCAACACTCACGCACACTGATGTACAACCCAACACTACAACCAAATCATTATTTACGTTAAAAATAATTCCGTGCTGTGCCGTGTGGGTTCGTTGTCATTTCTTTGATAAAATTTTGAATTGAAAATCACCGTTACATATATTAGAAACGATCCCGTTGGCCAGTTTAGTTAATTAGTCAGTTTCGTGTGAATTGAGAAAAAGCCAAAAATTGTTACGTCACATGAAAATTTTGGTGCGGAAAAGTGTTTGTGCGTGTTGATTTCCCCTCAGCAGTGATTGCGGTACCTTTTTATAGACGAGGCGCGCTGCATGTGCTGCAACAAACACACACACACACAGACGCACACGCACACACTTATGTACATGTGTGATATTTGAAATGTTCGAGCGTGTGTAAGATAGAGTTTATGTTATTATTGGAGGACATACAGTAGTCGGTGCTTAGAATTTCATTTGCATGTGGAACTGTCGTTATTTTCGAGGGGTCTCATATTCACTTGTAATTGTGATTCGTAGGAAGTAAGATCTCTAGTAGTATAAAAATAAAAATAAAATAGTGTAATTTCAACTTCAAATCGGAACGCAACATAAGAAAACAACAGCAAACAAGAACAACACACTCGAACCACCAATTAACAACATTAACCGTTAACCGTCGCGCATCCGTCAAACTTTAACCGTCTTTTACGCATTGAGTAATAAAAGCACAACAACAACAAAAAAAAAACAACTAAAGAAGTAACGTAACTCCGTAACGTATCAAGAACGCGTCCCATCTCCCGTATTGTATTTGTGTGTGTGCGAATGCAACAGCAACAAGAATCTCTCTTCAAGCAACAAGACATAACGTAACGCTGCGTATAACGGTAAGTGTGGTACAAGAGGGGAGGGCAGCTGCTTTTATATTGTTTTATTTTATTATTATTATTTTTTTTGGGGAATAAACGCAATTGGTAGTTTAGTTGGCGGGCACTTCGGTGGCGAAAATTCGATGCATGCAACTCGTTTTTCCAGCAGAACACACGCACCTCTCCTCTGTCTGTTTGTGTGTGTGTGTGTGTGTGTGTGCATGCAGCGGAAAACGTGTATTTGTAAGAAAAACCAGAAAATCGAAACCGGGAATTGGGTCAGTATGTCAAGCAAGCGACCGGGTAGGGGGAAAGGTTCTTTGCTTTGGCTCTAACTCTGCTGGCTAAAACGGGTATTAGTCAACACTTGACGCTAGACCGACCGGTGGCTGCCAGCATCCAACTGGGCATTCGTATGTGTGTGTGTGTGTGTGTGTGTGTGCTTGCTTGCTTGTGTTCGTTGCTGTCTGATTGTCACTCGCGCGTGGTTTTTCTTTTGCTTGGCATTTCGTTGCGCTTTGTTCGCTCTCCGCTCTCTCTCACTCTCGCTCATTTTTGGCCATTCGGCTGTTGATCTTGCATGGTGGCGACGCGTCGCCGTCGGCTGCAGCAGCAACGCATTTACCTTGAGCGCGCCTGCACTTGTCACGTTCTCTTGCTCTCCCGCTCCCGCTCTCTCTCTCTCATTCTCTCTCGTTGTGCTACGTTTTCTTATTGGATTTTGTGAACTTCTAAAGTGGTGGCAACACCTTTCGAAACACTAACTGGCCAGTTAGGCGCCCTGGGTCCGCTTTTCATGTTTGCTAATAAAATTATTACGATTTATCCGACTGTTGCTAATGCGTTTTAAGGTCGACTCTGTCGACTCTCCATACCAAACTCTTGCCTGCTGACCCATTAAAACGTCTTTCACATGATACGCGCCGCTTACATTTCGCGGTCCATTTAACAGTGTTCAACGCTGGGGGCCTGCCAGACGGGGGGGCGGGTCGGTCTACTGGGCCTACGTTAGGCTCGTCGCTGATTTGTGATTTATTCTCTAGAGTTTTTCCGTTGACGACTAAGCAAATTTATCAAGAGCTTTTAGCGGACAGTATGTGACTAAGCTATGCTCTAACTTGTTTAATATCCAATTGGTATGCCAATTTTCAACTAAGCTAAAACGTTTTAGTTTTAGCCCATTGCATAAAATTAAAGATCGTAAGAAATAATGCCTTATCTCCCACTGTTTGTTACACATACTTCTGCATAACTTTGATACCCTTATTACCCAATAATAAACAACCAGGAAGAGTGAACAGGCTAGAGCACCTTACACACAGGCAGTGGGGGGTGGGAGTGAGTGAGTGAGAGAGAGAGAGAGGCATAACTCACGCAAGACGACATTTGCTCTATTTACGGTTGCTAGCATACTAGTTCAGCTAGGAATTGCTTCCTGTCGCCCACGCACATGTTAAAGCTTGCGCTCTCGTGCTCAACGCAGCCGACAGGCGCTTGGGCTGCGTAAGAGAGCAAAAGAGAATCGAACAAAAGCTGCCGCTGCTGCATTGGGGTTGGCTGCGCGTCTCCCATGATTTTTGCACTTAAGAGCGAAAAGTGGCTTTGATTTTTTGTGTTTACAATGCTGTCGTGTGTGGGAGGGTTGGGAGTGAGAGTGCTAGATATGCGGCCCACATTTGCATGTCGCTCTCCCGCTCTGGCAAAAAGCACGCGGGATACAAGCAGAATGTTAACCTATATATTTTTTGTAGTTGCCAATACAACAACGGTAAAAACGTGGTGCGCCCAGCGCCACCCCCACAAATAGCGATACGACGGCGACGGCGACTTCTTCAACGTCGAGTCGAGTTGAAGGTTCTTTTTTTTTTCTTTATAAATTAAAACTGTTTTTAGGCGACGACGTGCCCCACGAGCGTCGCGCGTCGAGCGTCAGGAAGCTTTTGTTGAGCGCGCTGCTGCTGCGGCTGCTGCTACTGCTGCTGCTGCTGTTGACGCTGCTTTGAATTTAATGTTAAGTATACGCATCAGTGAACTCAATTTAATTATCATGATTGTTTTTCTCGCTGTCTTCTCGCTGTGTATGCTGAAAAATTCAAATTTGCCAACTTCGCACACACACACACACACACACACATGTCCGGCAGTTGGCAGTTCGTCGGTTCCCAGACAGATTTTCAGCGTTGCTGCCGCTTATGTAATCAAGAGCTTTACAAAAAGTTAAAAAAAAAAAAAACAGTAAACTACGTTAAGTTGATAAAAGCGCTGGCCACAATTACGTGCATACGTTTGTCTGTGTGTGCACGCCCTTCGCCCAGTTTTTATCAGCGCGTTATTTATGCGCCTTTGCCATGACAGATAGAACGACAGCGGCGGCAGCAGCAGCAGCAGCGCGGCAGCGGCAGCAACAACAAAATGTATTTTGAAGTGCAGCGTAGCGCAAAGAGAAAATAAAACTGTTGTTGTTACTTTTATAGAAGCCAAAAGCCCAAACGAAAAGCAATTAAGTCGCCATGGCTCATTGCACAATAAGCGAAGAATCAAAAAAAATAAAAAAAAAACGAACGCACGCAGCAGCAGCGGCAAACATAACTGTGTTTGCTTGGCCAGCCATAGCGTGCATGGACGTCAACGTCGCTGCCAGCGTCACAACTCTAATCGCGTGAGAGTGGCAGCGAGAGTGAGAGCAAGAGTGTGGGAGTTTAAAGCGCGAGAGTGTGTTGTTGTTGCCGCTGCTGTTTAATAAATAGGCCAAATATGTAATATCGCTAAAATGTGTTTATTGTAATCTTTTTCACACAGACACACATATATATAAATGCTCTCGCACGTGCATTGCATCCCTCGTTACGTTTCGTGCGCTCACACAAAAAGAGCGCCAAAAAGAAAGGGAGCGCAAGAGAACAAAAACGAGCGTGCAGCCAATAGCCGAATGTCAAACGAATGGCGCTGCTGGCGTCGCTGCTTTGTGGGGGCCCAGTTGGACGCGTTGCTGCGCTCGTGTGTTGGCTGAGTCGTTGTTCTACCGTCGTGATTGCAACACTTCTGCTTCTGCCACACACACTCTCGCCGTCATATAGCCGTCGCCAGTCTCGCAGTCGCAACGTTTTTCACGTTTTTTGATTTTTCAACTCAACTACTACGCGTACGTCGACGTCGCAGTCGCAGTCGCAGCAGCAGCAGCAGCAGCTCGTACGTTAGACGACATTTTAACGTGCACGCTTGTGTATATGTGCGTGTGTGTGTGTATGTGTATGTGTGTGTGTGCCAGTTTTCGTGCGTTCTGTGCTGCAACAACAACAGTTACCACACCAGCGTTGTTTAAAAATATAAACTGCGTTTTTTTCGCCAAAAAAGCCATAAAAAAATAATTTTCTGTTAAGCATTAGCCAGGCCCAGGCCAGACGAAAAGTCAACGACAGCAACAATAAGAACAAGAATAACATAAAAAAAAAAAAAAAAAACACACACAATTTTTGCCTGGCCAACTGAGCCCAGGCGAGCCGTTTGGCTGTGAGCGACAAAAACAGAAATCAGCGGCGGGCACAAATACATATAAACGTGCACGTATATATATACAAACGCATACATGAAAATTGTGTGTGAACGTACTTGATTTTGGTTCTCTAGCTGATGTTGTTGTTGTTGCAGTTGCCGTTTGTTGTTGTTGTTGTTGTTCTTGTTGTGGCTGTTGGCGATTTTCAGCAGAAAAAAACTGAAATTACGGCAACAACAAGAACAACATGGCGGCCAGTTGCGGGGCTAAAGGAGCACATTTTAATGCGTGACACACAAAAATTGTTGTTTTCAATTTGTTGAAACAATTTTTGTGTATACCCAGCGTGCGAAAAGCAACCCCACTTCCTCCTCTCTAGCCAACTCCTCCTACCCCTCGCCCTCGCCCTAGCCCTGCCCCTCGCAAATAGTCATCGACGGCTCTCTTCTCGCTTGCTTCGTCCCCACCCCCCTCATCCTACTGCTTGGCCGCTCCATCACGTACTCGCAGCGTCGTCCCTTGCGTATTGCCATTCGCACACGTTGCGTATACGTAACGTACTGGCCATAAACAACTACAGTGAAAGCTCGACGCACGCCTTTTCTTTTTGGTACAAATAGCTGTTGATAATCAAGGTCAAAATTAGTTTTGAATTAATTTCAAATCTAAACAAAAGAGAAAAACAAATATTTGTATAGACTTTTCTGTTTTGTTACCTGTGTTCGCTCTGGCACGGTTTCACTGTACACTCGCACGCACGCTATGCGTTATACCCTTACGCTTTGAAGAGTTCGTGTCCTTTGCGCTCTCTGGCCCTTCGTCCCCCGCTGCCGCCCGCCCTTCCCTGCTGCTCTCCTTATGTCAGGCTCGCATGCGGAGCGCATAGAAATTGCGTTTATTTTCATGTTGGCATTTTGACTGCCCTTTGATGAGTTGATAAACGAGCCAGATTAGCCCCCACCCCCCTTTCTGATACCCCTTCAGCCCTCACACACACACACGCACATAAAGAGAAATATGATTGAAATGTGTTAAAAATTTGTTTTTCTGCCAAAGAAGTATCTAAAGCGCACGCGTTACGGTACAACAGACACAACAATAATAGAAAATATTAAAAAATAAAAAAAAAAGGTGCTAATATATATTTAAGCAGCCAATTAAGTATTTGGCTCAAGCGCGACATCAAAATCCAAAAAAAAAATTCAAATTGAATCAAAAATCAAGGAAAGTGTAAAAAATATCAACAAGGAAAGCGCAAAAGGAACGAGAGGTAAAAAATGTGCGCTCAAAATAGATTTATATTTAGTTCGAAATCTTCAAAAAAAAAAACAAAAAAGTTGCGACACATTCGAAATAACCCACGCGACGGCATCGAGAAGCGTTGAGAAGCGTTGAGAATCTTTGGGAATTGTTGGGGAAATCGTTGGGAAATCGTTGGGAAACGTGTCGCCTGGGACCGAGCGACTGCCGCATTTGCGGAGGCGCCGTTGTCTCACATAAGGGGTGCTTCCAATTTGTTTCATTA